AAAGCCTCGTAAATAGTGGCACGATTATCCCTTGGCGCGATTCATAATGCAGGAAAAACGATGCGCGATTACGCAGTCAGCCAGCCAAACTCAATCCAACGCTTTTCGCCACGACACTACAATTCTCTTTCTCTGTTTATCCTCCCCCTGTGCTCTCTAGCTTGCTGTTCCTTTCTCTCTGCCTCTTCCTCAAGTACCCTTCCTGTTAACAATCAAAGCAGAAAAATGAAACGAAGAACTTTGCTTTTTTTCAAACTTTCTTCTTTTATACCTGACAGATCGATATATGTAGTATCTACAACGATGTGAGCGCGGAGATTAGCTGTCAAAGAGATTTGACATGAAATCGATATATAATATTGAGGCCGTTATTACCGGTCTCAATTAAGAGATTATAAGCAAATCTGCATAGAGATTGAGATAATTGAAATGGCAATTATACAAACTGCAACTATGCAAATGCTTTAGTCGCTTTAAGTTTCGAGCATTGCTAATTTTAATAAATTTTGAACACCCTTCCGAGAATATGTTAGCTACATTTGTATTACATTTATATAAAATGCAATTGTGCGTACGCCTACATAAAAAAACAGAGCTCGTAATTTTTCCTTAAAAATGTGAAGACTTCCGCTTCTTAACGTCACAAATAAAACTGTTATTTGTTTTAAGTAAAAATTATGAAGCTCTACTTACTTAGGAACACGACTGCGTTCTACGGTAAATATATTGCGCGACATGAAAGTCCAAAATATTTTATCGCAATTTGCCGCTCGCACTATCACCGTTTGTTATGCTTCCATAACCGGCCATCTTCGGCCGCTATATTTTCATTTTTGCGGAATATACCTGGCGTTAGGTCTCGCATGATTGCGTATTACGACACTCGCATAAACGGTCGGTCTTAAAGTCACAGTCGACCCCAGTACTAATACAATCTGTAGTATTGCCGAGTTATTTCGCAAATATTATATTTGTATATCGTTTGAATTTTTCACGAAGGCTATCTTTGGATCTTGACCGCGATATTATTTGGAATTTCGTCGAGCTATAGACGTGTTCAATTTGGCGAACAGTTACTGAAATTTTAATTTGACAAGTTTAATTGTGTAATTTTACGTTTTACGTAAGAGTTATTTTTATTTAGTATGAGTTTTAAAATTTGCCATTAAATAAAAATTGATAAAAGAGAATCACGGTCAAGTACATAAATAATACATTATAAATAAAATATATACTTTTTTAAAAATAGAGAAGGATAATATAAACGATATAAATGAGAAGGATAATATAAACGATATTTTCTAGTACAAAGTTTCTTTAAATCGAAAAGAAATTTGAAGAGAATTCCTTAAATTATTTTTATATCCTTAAATTATTTTTATAATTATTTTTATAATTCCTTAAATATATATTATTTTTATATTTTTATATTATTAATAGCAAATTTGCGGCATTTTTAATTTTTATTGTGCGCAGTTATTTATATTATAACGTAATTGCGGATTTTTAAATATTATTACGATGACATTCCTTAATTCGAGGAAAGAAACAAATTTGAATAAAAAAACAAAAAGGAAAGAAACAAATTTGAATAAAAAAAATTTGAGCAAAGAACGAAACAAGCAGGCATTTGACACACGTTAGGTTTCCTTTCCTATCTCATCGCGTTCTTTTGGACAAACATATTCCTATATGCGACGTAAGAGTCACAACCGCAGGATGTGCGCAGGTGCATCGGAGTTTACTAGCAATCTCTCGCGGAAAAGTAAAACAACCTGTCCCAGTTGCACGACACCCTCGTATTCATTCGTTGAATGCTATATATGTACGATCGTGAGGAAGATGGCGAAAGTAGACGCGGCGAGCAGAAGGAAAAACGAAAGCGGAGGAAAAAGGTCTGGCCGCCCTGTAGCTATACCAGCATATTTACAGAATAGAAGAGTATAGAAGAGATACGTTTTAGTTTTGCATTTGTCGCCATGGAGGAAATAGTACTTCGAGAGAGGAGAGTACTCGGGTAGAATAGGTAGAGGTACGCACGTGGGTAGACGACATCGAAGGAAAAAGGGGAAGCGGAAAAGGTGATTGTAGGTAGGTAGAGATACACGGTGGCGAACCGTCGACCGGCGATAGGAAAGAGGACGATACAAGAGAAAGAGATACGAGATCTGCCATCTAACCGCGTCAGCGGGTGTGAGTCTGGCTCGAGTGTAAGGGGATGCAGGTAGCAACAAGGGGAGGAGGGCAAAACGATGGGGACGAGGGATAGGAGGGAGAGACGGCGGGATCGGGTCCCATGTGCCTGTCACGGTTTTACAAGTCCATAAAAAGAGGAATTTCAGACTGAGTTAAATATTGCTGCCGCTCTCACTGAATTTCAAGCACGCACACGCGTACAGCCACCACCGGTACATATATAATAGGGCGCGCACAGAAACGCGACCGCGCACCTTTTCACACGTGTAACGAGCACGGGGTATGGCAGGGGGAATCTTCCTGAGATATTTATTTGGCCGTCATGCGTGCCTGTTAAATTATTTCAAGCCGCTCGTTTCGCGGCGTGAACGTCGATGCCGAGGGATTTGGGCACGTAACGGGTGGATTTTATTCATCATTCATCATTCATATTATTCGCACACTATCGTAAGTGTGACAATAAGTTATATTTCAAATTTTTAAGTTTATCTTGTGTCTGTCACTTTGGTGATATAAAATTTTTGTGTTAATAAAAATTGAAAAGTCTAATTCATTCGGCTTGCATTGTAATCCATATTCATATCAACCTTCCTACGTGCGCAAGCGTATAGAGATTGTTAGAAGAAAGTAGTTATGACGGGTTTCGTGGTTTATGGCTGATTCCCCGAGGTACACAGACACAGGAAGCAAAAGAGATTATTACAAGGGACGTATGCTAATCCCGAACTACCGCTGTACCGGACAGCCTTACGCGAACAAGTTACTCTAGAAATACATGGAACTGTTACACCAAGTCCCGTTTCACTGAATATCCTGTGCTTTATCTACCTATATATAAAGGCTGAAATAATAAATTAAGCAAAATTATAACTGTCCACTTCAAAATCCACGATGAAATTTTTAAGATCTCTCGCAACGATGCTTGCAAGAATTTTATGTGTATAATACATTTTCGTTATACACGTTACATATGTTTATACATGTTTATTTATTCTGCTAAATTGTGATAATTGTTAATCACTTTATGTCAGAGTATGTTAGCCCAATTTAGAAATAGAATTGCAGATATCCATTGTCACGATGGATAATCAATTCTGAGCATTGTTTGCTGATCGAATCATATTCGCTGGGCGTTTCGGTAAGTTATGTTCCAACGATTTCTCTCTTTTCAACGATAAGAAAACTAGAACATGTTTTATTGACGCTGAAAACTATTCAGTGCCACGAGATGCTGGAAAATCTATTTCTAACACGTTGTATCGAATACAGAAACTATAATGGCTTGTCGGATCGTGACGATCCGCGAAACTGGCACTGCTATATACATGGATATATATGAATTTAGATACTACCCAAAACAACACGTTTGTATTTTACTTATACAATTACCTATAAATCTCAACAGGCTTTTCTTCTTTTTTTCTCTTCTGATGTGTTATCAACAATTTGAAATAAAATTAATACAATCAAATAATAGTAATATCGTAATAATAATAGTAATGTAATATCGTAGCATTTAATAAACTATTTTTATTTCAATTTCTTAAGTGAAATTGTATTGTACATTAAAATCTGTACATAAAAATTTTCGTTACTAATGTTAATAATAGTTAATAAGAATTTTGAATATCAATTCACATTAAACATTCGATTCAATTAAACATGCGAGTAATTGTAGTTACGTGGAATCAAGAACAATGTTATTAACGATGTATTTAATAAATGCTTTTTTAGTAAAATATTAATTTAATGTCACTGGTATTGAATTATTTTATTCCAGTCTGTGTAAATTAGTTTAATCTTTATTCCACGATAATGGGCTTTGTGAAATAATCATTAAAAGAGAAAATATGATAAAGGTTTTATAAAAGCACGCATATAAAACATTTTATACGTAAAATAAATATCTTCTTGCAAGATTGATATATAAATCGTTGCTTCATCGAGCAATTACAAATTGAAGTAATAATAAAATAAGAAAGATAAGCAAATTTGAAATGTTTTCCAGAATATAATATAGTTACTGCAACAGTACTAATATTTGTACTTTTAAATTTCAATGAACATTCAGCAGAATTGAATTACAGTTGCAAACCATTTTAGCATTTACAAATAATTGATTTATAAAACTATGTATTACAAAATTACGTGTTACACGTTATAGAAATAATAACGATTTAATCACGATTTATAAAATAAGTGCATTTTATAAAGACGCATATATTTTATAGATAGTATGCATTAATAATACGTGTATTTTTTTAATAAATAAAATCGAGAGATCAATACTAATGTAAAATAAAAAATATAATGATAATAAATAAACTATAATACTCCATTATAATCGAATGATTATAATCGAACATAATAATAAATTTCTATTAGAAATTTTTCGTAAATATATTATTACTGTTTATTAACATTATTAGGTTTCGTTAACATTATAAATAGATTAATATAAAAATTAATATAGAATATTATAATTAATATAGAAATTATAAATAGATTAATACAGAAATGTGTAGATTTATAATTTGAGCATTTGTTGGAAGGTTAATATATTATTATTTAATGAAAATTTCCTAACATTTTTACATAATAGACATTGTATAATTTATCAAAAATCCAATTTGCTTTGCAACAAAAAATGGCTTTAAAAATTCTCTTGTAAAATAATTCTCTATTCTGTATAATTAGTGTGCAAATCCTACAAGTCAAGCAAGTATAGGGTCAAAGGTAAAACGCACGATGTTAAATATTTTTTTCCGTGAAAAGACGAAAATCTGAAAATTGGGTGTACTTACTGCTCGTGTCCTGCTTTGGTTGGTTACCCGGTGACGTCGCCCAGTTAACTTTCATCTCCTGAAACATTTAAAAAGAAGAAAATGGATTTAACGTGTTATATAATAATGCAAAAGAGAAACATTTTTCAAGTTTAAAAGAAATATATATATACATATATATATGTAGGAAAATTAACGTTAAATCGTTGTTGATTACAATCCGGCTCAAATTTATACATTTATAATTTTTTTTATAGTTAAGGATAATTTTTTGATAATTAATAATTTAATCTTTATATCAACATCTCGTGTAAGTTTTGCTTATTTAATTTATAAAACGCTGATAAAAATGCACTTATTTATAGCAAGAAAGAAAAGGAAAAAAAATTATTTTTTTAATTAAATAAATTTAAAATAGTCAAAGTAAGTTCAATTTAATTCCAAAGTAATTAATAAAGTGATGATTAACTTTTTGATCATAAATATGTATCATATTAAATGATGTTTATTGAAGCCATCAAGTTATGAAGTTATTACGGTTATTTTTAAATTATTTTTATTCCTGCATTGCTATTGATTTTTAAAGCTACAAGAAATTCCGTAGACAAACTTAGAAGAATCGATCACACATTACTTCTAAATCGGATCTGCAGATTCCGGTAGCGAGGAAGTGGTTTCACTTTGGAGAAGATGTCGGGCGGCGGAAATGGGACGTGTCGGGTATCGTCGAGTCCTAACAGATGCCGTAAACTGGATTCTTTATGCATCGTCGTATACCGGCTCGTGGCGTCGCAGATATTCGATAGATAGTAAAAGTCATTTCGTTGGAACCGATCGCGTCCCGGGAAAAAATGAAGACACGTAAACGCTGCGAGATGCATGAACGAGTCGCGGAATAAGTTTTGCCGTATTGAATTTTGCGATGTACGAGATGTTTGCAAAATACCAACGGCTAATTATCAAAACATCTATCAATACACATTCATCATTGATTTGTTATCTCTCTTTATCAAAATGTTTAAAAAAATATCCTACGAATGATAAAAATCCATTGATTTTATTTACAAAATAGCATTGTTGTTTTAGACAATTCTATATGCAATATGTCTTTTTTAAAATGTTATTGGCAATTAATAAAACTTCGGGAAAAAATATCCTAAAAACATATGATAACTAGCTGTATCATTTGTTCAGTCTAAAAAATTCTTATTTTAATATAAGATTTTCTGTTATTGAAAAAATATAATGTTACCCATCATTAAAATAGTTTTGCTGTTAATAATATTAAGCATACATTTCTCATTTTTTATCTATGTATAAATTATTAAATTTAAAATCACTTTGAAATGCTTTAACCGTGATTCCATTTTTTTACATCATATTGTCGATCAATAGTGATAGATTTCACGAGCATGATATAAGCAGGAAATAGTAAAATGTTACTGCCAAAGTAGACGAATAATAAAAAGTCACGTGCACGATATGCAGAAAATATAGACTGGATTAATGGAAGAATGGTGTCGCCAACGTGGACGATACATTGGCCATATCAGTACGTGTTAATTTGGTACACGCAACCCGCGTAGCGTTGATATTGAATCGTTACTTTTCATTTTCTTGGTCGTTGGCACAGCCGACTCTCGGCGTCCTTCGTGCAGCCTTGGACTGCTATTTAACTCTTCTAGATTATGAGAGTTTATGAAATTGGCACATATAGGCTAAAATAGAAAAGCATTTGAAAACGCAGTAAATTTAGACTGATGATGTTATTTTAATGAAAACCATACATATATTCGTACTATGAATATTTTGTATTTTTATATTTTAATTTGGACACGTTTTTATTAATTATATTCTATAATACTTGAAACAATTGATGAATATAATTCATTAAAATATCAGAAATTATATTCAATTAAACAAAATTTATAAAATTGCATATATTTTTTTGAATTAAAATAATAATAAGATGCCTTGTAAAATATTATAATGCACAAAGTTTTATATTAAAAGTGTCTTTTAATATGCAAATGCGAATGTATTGTTTAAATCGATGAATTTATTGCTTTTCTATTAATAATGTTTGAAAGCAGTTTTAACAATGCATGAAGTTGATATGGTGCAGTCAGATGTAATTAACAGTTTGCAGTTACCGGTATATGTATAATAAAAAAGTTTCATTACGGAATAGAGGAAAAAGAAAAATTCATTATTAGAGATGTGTGTGTGTTTATAAATTATACATACACTAAAATTATCACAATATAGATTATTATGATTTGGTCTGTCTGATTTAACTATTCGTGGGATTTACGTCTCCAAACAGACATATTTTTCGTAATTTCGCGAACCCGCATTTGCACGCTGATGCTAAATGCACATCTCTAAAATCGATATAATGATAATTGAACCGAATTATAGAGAAATGTACGAACAGAGGCAAAATACTCCGTCTCGCTTGATAAAGCATTTACGCCCACGTGCGATGCTTTGTACGATTATCAGCCAGCCGCGCATCGTAAACTATTTTACAAAATATATTTGGGAACGCGGCATTGGGACGCCACAACTAAACGGTAAACTAACCGTAGCAAATAGTCTGTCAGATAGTATAGATATCGGATATCAGTATACGTACAGAAGTTAAATAAATGACATTATTGTCTATTATATACTAATATGAATATGAATTATTTCTTATAGTTTTGTTAGTTATAAATATGTCAGAGAAAAAGAATAAAATTGCAAGGTGCAGCCTAACGAAGACGGTAAAAAATGCTTCTGCTGTCTTATTATTTCAATGCTCTACTATATCTCTTCTCAGGATTTTTGCTGGACTAGTCATTTCAGAAAAAGGGAATGACGGGAACAAGTAATGTTAACCGGAGAAAAAACCGCGGCGCGGAAAAGTGCGGAGGATAAGGAATAGGAAGCGGGGGAATAAGTAAGTAAGCGAGTGACTATATAAGTAAGGAAGCGCGCACGAGTAAGTCTGGTAAGTAAGTTAGGACAGGACGAACGCGCGTGCGAGTGCCCAAGACGGTCGGTATGCGAACACGGGGCCCGCAGTGTGTCTGCAGCAATTTGCAACTTTTAATAGTTAGCCTGGGCTACGCGAGGTCGTCTACCGGTCCAGAGCCCGTTGTTTTATGGTTTATATAGGAGGAAAGCAAGTTTACATGTCGTAGTTTTGAACAGTTAATGCATACGCGCCTTATGCTGCGGAGCCACCACCTTTCGCCATATTTATATATTAAAGGGTGAAGTTTTCGTCCGATATACCACCCTCGTATTACCTCACGCGTATATCTAAACTTACGTTTTAAATAACCTGCTCGCGAAATGAGATCGACCCTGCATTTCGGCTGCCGTTTGGAATGAGCTATCATCAATACTATGTACGCCTGTGTATGTAATCGCATATGCGCAAGCTTTATGAATTTTCCCGTCTGTTTGATCAATCATAAATTTTTTTTAAGATTTCTTAAATTTGATTAATATTTATAGAGTCTTTACAACAATGAATTATCCTAGTTTTATTTTTAGTTTTACATTTAATAAATAGAGAATATCGTTTTTATTATAAATATTTAAATATATTTGTACATATTGTGAATAATAAGAATTATTAGTACATATTGTGATAGATTATTTGTACATATTGTGAATAATAAGAATATATTATTTAAGAACATATTATTTAATAAATTAGAATGTGTGTGGTGTATCTTTGTTACAAAGCTAAAATCAATCAAATTTAAGAAGTATTAAAAAATTTTATAATTTTGATCATTTGATCATTAATTTTGATACTTTAAGTAAATTAATAATAATAATTATATATATATATATATATATATATATATAAATGTTGTTTAAAAAAAATAAATGAGATATATTCGGCATTTTTTTATCTATATAATAAAATTATAATTAAAATATACGATAAAAGAAAAGCTTGATAAAAACAAAATATGTAACTACATTATAATAATAAATAACAGTGAAATGGAAGAAATTAAAAATAGGAATTGAATTACTAACAATAAAATTAAAATGTAATGAGTGAACAAAAAAAAATACATTTAATTATTTTATCATTTTACACTGCATGTTTTTCTCGTAACAGAAACTTCAAATAATTCTGATATTACGATTTTATAATGAAACGTGTCGATATTGACGTACGAATAAAGTTAATGAAAAATAATTAAAATTTTTGATCATCTTTATATCACTGTATAAACAAAATCGAGAAATTTTTTGATTGGCCAAATGCGAGATTTATTTTGTCTTTTACACACATACACATACAGAATCTATACATGAAAAACGACAAATCTTTTATCTGCAAACTATCGAACTGTCGCGTACAATATCGCATAGAGTATTGCGTATTTCGACATTAAAAAGAAACGCGAAATGGATCAACGTGGCACTTTAATGCAAGGCTTAGATCGCAATAGGAGAACGATTACATATTACAGATGTGAAAGTTGAGTTATTGCGAGCGAGCATCGGCAGGAAATCGGGCAGAAATTGCAAGCTGCTGCACTTTTGACCTTAGCCGTGCAGTCGTCTGCCGGTCAGATATTTATTGTCCTATTATCGTGATTGATGTACAGTTGGCTACCCACCGACCAGTGGTATCTTATATAAGTACATTTAATGGGGTAAGGCCGTTTCGGACCTTCGCATGACGAAGGGCCACCGGTCTTATATTGTCGTTTAACGTTATGGCCGACGCGGCGACCAGTACGGTGGGGTGGATTTGTAACGTTTTCTTACTTATGCCTTCTTATTTTCCAGCCACATGGCGCCATTAGTCGACGCGGCACCACTAACGTTTCTCGCCTGCTGCGGTAATAAGTCACGGAAATGCTATCGTAAGAAATTTACGGAACATTCGCTTACTTTCCGCGCGTACACGTACGAGACGCATACTTACAAACAGGGTCTTTAGTAAGCCTTGTGACAATCCTCCGTGTCGGCTTAATCGTTAATTGCGTTGTAAATATCGGTACTTCGAACATTCGAGGTATATTAATCTTGCTCGTTTTTAGTTTCGATTTAATTGAT